TTGTCATATCATTCAACTTTCTTATTTTTTTAACCAAGTTTAGATAAACTTATTATTATAAAAACCGCGTTTTGCGCTTCATCTTGCCTAGTCACAACGACCCCGTAGTACCTCACACCACACATCAAAAACATTTACTGGTAGCAGCAAGTGGCTGTGATTGTTACGTTCGTTTGGAACAGGCAGAGGAAAGTTGCTGGCTTAGAAATAATACTGGGAGCCGTACATTCTAAATGGTCTCGATTTCAAATCAGGCTTCAGTAATATTAGCACAGTTGAAAGCATATTTCATCAAAAATGAAATCAGCTAAAAAGAAGAGCGCAGAAGCTTCTCGACAGAAAAAGTTTGACTCCAAATTCTTTTCAGCGGAAGACCCCCAAAAGGTAATAACTGTGGGAGATATGATTCCTTTTGTGGACTACGTGGAAGGTAGTATACAATCAATGCAAGGAGACATTACAAATCTCAAAAAGAACCAGCAAGACATAAGCAGCAGTAGTGAAAAACTGAAGCAACATGTGGACAACGGCCTTTTGGCAAATGCGGCAAAAATTGACCAGTTACTGAAGGAAGTTAAGGAAATTAAGGAACAGCGTACAGATTTACACGTTGAGCAAAATCTGCATCATACAACTGAGCATGTTACTACTGGTAATGATGAGAATGAAGAGTTAGAAGACCAGCAAGACATAAATGTCTTGGATCCAGATTTCTTTGCGCATGGTATACGCATAACACCTTATACCGGTGGAGGTGACATTACGTCCTCAACGTGGCTTAGAAAATTTGAGGATTACGTGGATGCACAAAGCAGACCGTGGACTGATAAACAAAAAGCTCAGAAATTAAAATTTTTCTTAGATGGGCTCCCTCGTGAAGAGTATGAGAGTCTCATAGATGATGAAAAAGATAGCTTTAGTAAAACAGTTGAAAAACTTAAAGAAATATTTGAGTCACCAAAAATGAGAAACTTGGGGCGCAGAAATTGATGAATTGCAAACAAAGGCGCGCAGAAATTGATGAATTGCAAACTTCTTACACAAAGAAGGTGAATCAGTAACCGCGTATTCAGAGCGAATCAGGAAAATGGCAAAGTCCGCTACAGTAGGGTTTAGCGAAAAAACTTACAAAGAAAATTTAATGGATTATTTTCTTGCAGGATTAAGTAGTAAGATACGGTTTTTCGTGCAGAATGCTGAACCTTCTACTTTCGAACAAGCATTCCTTAAATCTCAACATGTTGAAAGTCTCATAGGGTCGGACACTGATCCTGTTCATGCATTAATGAATGCTTTCGCAATTTCAGGAATATCAAATAACTCTATCTATTGTAAAGAAGCTAATGCTGCCACTCTAGAAACAGCCGTTTGTGAACTAAATGGTATCACAGAAAACCTAAAAAGAATGACTCACCTACCCCGTACCTTGCTCAACAGGATACGAGGAACAATCGCACTGAGCTACCAGATCGTTACAGGGTCCCCCAGGAATTCCACCAACGTAGGCGGTTTCCTAGAAATCCATATTATGTCAAAAACTTAGTACAGGAAGGCCATAGATACAAAAGACATCATGACACTCGACCTTTTTGCACTTCCTGTAACGAAGTGGGACACCTTGCATATAATTGCTATCATCGACAAAGTCCATCAAATATAAGACCTTTTCAGAAACAAGCTGATAGAACAAACTACAGTGGCAGAAATTCACCCCAAAATGCGTATGAGAATTTTAGAAACGGGACTGGGAGACATGGGACGCGACCCACCAATTCGGTCAAGCACCACCTGCAAGACAAGCAAATCAGCCAGTTGGACACAGAGATGCTTATCCAGTAAATAGAATGAGAAGTTTAGAACATCAACGAGAAGCTAACAGGATGACCAACTTAATTCCGGATGAAGGTAAATTTAGTGCAGAAGACCAGAATCACTCAGATGTGGATCTCTTTGATATTGGGACTGTCCAAGGTAGATTAAATAGTGGAGTACGGGAAAAAGAATTGGACTATCAATGCATGGGTTGGCAGGAAGAAAGAAACCTAGAACAGTTCAGTCAGGATAAACCAGTAAATTTGAGACAGTCAAAACTAAAAAGTTTTCTCATTTTTCTCATTGCGAGCTTTTTGTTAATTCAGATGGGCTCTTCGTATGTACTGTAAAACCGTTCTAAAACTCTATAGATAAAATTCAAAAATATTATAATTCAGTAGAATTCAAATGCAGGTAATAAATCATTATCTGCATATGACACATAACTGTTATCCCGAAAAAGGGGAAACAAGCATATCGCTTTTTAAACAGACAAATAAATCAGAGACAATGGCTGCCTGCCCAGACAAACGGGGACTGGACTTCATTCAAACAATAAGCCCGGGGAAATGTCTGGCCCCTCCCCGCTAAAAAATAGTATAAAAAGCACAGGAACCTTCAGTCGGGATCCTGGTAATTCGAACGTCTCTACTGCACGGACTCGACATGGCTCACCATCTTCGATTCAACTACGACTTGACACCGTTTCGACTCTTCCTCGACAGTGCAACGCCACGTCGGCAGCGACTGTGGCGTCGAGGATCATACGTGTCCTCCAGGATCGTCAGCCTCGACTAGGTTCGGCTGGAAGCACCGACCTACTGCGCCTACCTTCGTCCCCGTCTATAACGGTCCCACTGTACGGGTGGAGTACGCTGACATTGCGTAGCCGCTGAAGAGTCATCGCTAGACGATCTCTTAGCAGCAATCCGTTACACTCTTCCCCGGTCTTTGGCTACACTAGGCCAGGCACACGCGCATCAGACTTGGCTGTACTAGCTATATTTATCATCAACAGTTGATATAACTAAAGGCTGCCAGCTCAACTACGATCCAAGATACCCCCTCTGGGTTCGTACCGTACACATCACGTCTCTCGTAGCAGCATACTTCCACTACGCAACATATCTATTGCTCACATTAGCATACTTGCCATCATAACATTATATTATAAATTTTACTGGTAGCAGCGAGTGGTTGAGCATTTTTTCACGCCGTAGTTCATACGGCGCTTAAGTATATTGCGCATATTTCGAGTTCAGCTTAAAAAAAAAATCAGTCAGTCCAGTTGTCAGTACAAGCTGTGAAATAACCTTTCTAATCTTAAATTCAGATATTTTCAACTCCAGTGATAAGGAGCTATCTATTATTCAGGCAAGTTCTTTCTTTTGATATTACTCCAATGCTAAACGCATCCGCTACTTTGGCAAATTTATACGAAAATTTTCGTTTTGATTTTCCGGCAGTACATCGTTCTCGTACTCGCACAAATGTTACTATGAACAATTTGCAGCAATTTGCTACGCAGTTAGCTGAGTTCTGTTCGCATACGAACAATAGTTTCCAAAAACTCTTTTCCGACATACATGCGCTTAATGAAAATTATAGAAGTCTTACCGCAGAAATCAGTACTTCTCTTGCTACAGTAGCACAATGCATAAACACCATTCATCAAAATTTAAAT